TTGCCTGTACATAGGAGAACACCCATGTCATGTGTCCATATTTTTGTACAAACACGACAATTCTGATTCATTTCCTCATTTTCCCCAGAGAATGATACAGTTTTTTGCCTCTGTCGGCTTCATGCTATTTACCTATGTACTTGCACCAAATTGTATTGCTTTCCCCTTTTAGAGTTCTCCGGTAGTGGTTTGCCTGTTAGTGTGCTCCTTAGAAATCATGAATACACTGCAACATATTCAAGTATTGTCAACTTGCAAATGCACAGAGAAAGAAGCAAATATATCAAGTTATGCAAACAAACAAAAAAACATGCAAATTTGAAAATGGGTCTGCAGATGTGCATGGCATTTAAAGTCACTGCAGCATGTTGTAACTTATGTATGCAAGGGAAACCTCATGCTTACTTTGAACTGGTCATTGGGTAATTCACGTTTGAAATCATCCATATGAGTTGAGTCTTTTGGATTTATGTGGTCACCTTTTCTAATCTCTTTGATGTAACTCAGTGGTACTCACTCCTGGTCCTGGAGAGCCAGCATGTTTTAGTCTTAACTGTGCTTCAACACGCCTGATGTCCATCAGCAGGTGATGGACTTCAGGCTTCTGAAGAGCTTGATGAGCTGCTGCGCAGGTGATTCAACCACTGAATTAGGTGTGTTAAAGCAGAGAAACAAGGAAAACGTGCTGAATGCCGGCTCTCCAGAACCAGGAGTGAGTACCACTGATGTAATTGAATCCCTCCACCACATTATCACTCCCTTTGTCCCTGAGTGAATGTTGCTTTCACTCTTTACTGATTTAAAATGTCGACTCGTCCCACCAACCAGATCTTCTGTCTCTGTCTCTCATCCATCGCTGGCTCTCCTCTAATGCTTTTTTACCATCTTCTTTAAGTGTTTAAGACATTGAGTGTTATTGTCCAAATATTTTTATTTAATTATGACTTTCTGTCTGTCAGTCGTCGACCCTCATTGTCCACATTTTACTTTTACTGTCTCACAGGTTGGAGTAAAATTGAGCTAAAGACAAGTGTAACTCTGTAGGTTCCTTTTTCTGAATGTCTAAAGCCGACTTCTACCCTCTCACTGACCTGGAGGGTGACGGTATCTCAGTCTTGCCCTACCAAAGATCAGCCCTTCACTTCCAGCACCCGATCACCAAATCATCATTACTCATGTCCCTGTCTCTTGGACATAAAACACGTCACTCACACCAAGGCCATGACTGTACCTCCTGACTGTGTACTTTGTGTCCCACTTGTTACCATCACTTTGTCCTTTTCTCTCAGAAAGCCCCTTCTGTTATCTAACTGCAATCTGTAACAGAACAAAACGAAGCATTTCATTTTCTGTAACAGAACAAAATGAAGCATTTCATTTTGCTATCAGTGGTTCTCGACAACAGCAGCATATTAGAGCCAGTAAGAAAAGTAAGGATTACTCTGCAAAAACAGCACTACTTTAAATAAGGTAAATATTCTTAAATATGATCAAAAAGAAAACGTTTACCTAAAGAGTGTTATTTATTGAAAAAGGTCATTTAAGAACTATTTGCTTACTTTAAGGTTTCACACCATAACTTAGATTTTCACAGAACATAAAATGATCATTACAGGACCAATTCTTTGAAAACTGAATTCTTCCTTGACTGAACCAACTACGAGAAATATTTCTCTAATCTGTGAATAATAATTAGCAAAGTTTTGTATTGTATTTATTTATTTGCTCTTTATTTAACCAGGAAGGTCCCATTGAGATTAAAAACCTCATTTTCAAGAGAGTCCTGGTCAAGTGGCAGCAAAAGATACAGTCACAACATTTCTCAATTACAGTTAGTTATATACAGAATTATGGAAGGCAGTTATAACACAGGGACTCCATCTCAAGTGTTCTTAATCTAGTTTTATATGTATTCAAAGAGATAAACTTGGTTAACTTCTAGTTTTCCTGCAACTTGTTCCATGAACACTGTGCTGAGGCACTCATATACAAAAGGTCTCCATAATCCAGAATAGACAAAAAAGTTGCAGTAACTAGTCGTTTTTTTGCCTCAAAAGAAAAACACTGTTTGTTTTGAAAAAAGAAATACAGTCTGAGTTTGAGTTTCTTCACAAGATTATCTACATGGGGCTTGAAGGACATGGAGTCATCGAGCCAGATACCAAGGTATTTATATGTGTGGACCACCTCTATGATATTTCCCTCAAGAGTGGTCACTGAGGGCATACTTAGAGGTGTTTTCTTGGAGTTTGAAAACAACATTAGCTTAGTCTTGTCAGCATTGAGGACCAATTTAAACTGCAGAAGTGGACCTCATTTAAATTGGGGGATGTTCTAAACCAGTAAATGATTGCGTCATCAGCATAAAACTGCATATTGGCATCCAATACATTTTGTCCTATTTCATTAATATATACAATAAACAAGAGGGGTTCCCAGAACTGAACCCTGTGCTACTCCCTTGTGGACACTCAAAAATTCAGAGGACAACTCATCACATTTAACGCACTGAGTTATGTCCTTCAAGTAGTCTGTGAACTGTGAGATTACATGTTCAGACAATCCCAAACAAAGAAGCTTGTGTTGGTGAGATCAAGACACTATTTGTTCAAAAGGTATAATAAGAAAAAGGAATTTTATCTTAGACAATGACCATGTTGGTGTTGAATCCATAGTGCTGGTGAATAGTCAGGAGGCAGGGTGGTGAAGGATTTAATGAAAGCTGAAATGAAGAAATACAGGGAACCCACATAAATGACAGATAAGTTGGAAGATCTAACCAGAGGGAATTGAACCAGGGAGTTTTAAACCAAGGGATGGTGATTACAAAGTGAGAACTGGTGAGCAGATTAACTGATGAGAAGTAAGAGTGCATGAAGAGTGAGTTAAACTAACCTAACTAAAAATCAGCAGATCATGACACTTAAAACAGTGTTTCCAAACAAGACCCTGATATTAGCGGATAATCTAAAGTCTTAGTTATGAGTGTGGGACCAACATGGACCGAAATCAACGCGACAGACTGCATTTATGCTGGCTGGAACATCTCCACAACATTGCTCATAAGTTCACGCGTAATGTGTGAAGGAGTTGGTACACAAAAGCCACACTTTTCTTCTTGTACCATCTTACACCATGAACCCATATCCCTGGTTTTATTAACAACAAAAGAAGCTGATGGAATGATGCAACACAGGTTTTATTTTGATAAAAAAACAACAACAATGCACCTCGCTGAAACACGTCTCACTTCCCGTCTGGCTCAACTTTACGACGAGCTGCATCCGACGTCTGGAAAAAGTAGAAACTGTGCAGAAAGATTCCACATTTCTGCTTTCAGATCTGCTCCGCGACGGAACCGGTGAGAAAGCTTTGATTGGACTAAATGATTTTCATTCTTTGTGGAAGCCGCACAGATTCTGATACGCATCCAGTCCTCACTCAGTGTAAATGAAGCTGCTGGCACGCGTCGCCGGGTTTTTGAAATACTTAATATCCTCACACCCTCATCTAGAAAAAAACACCAGCCACCTCATTGTCAGCATAAAGGCAGCAGTAGTTCCCACAATCTGCTGCTTGTTAGAAAATAAAAACATTCCTTGGAAAAGGTGGTGGGTACTACCCATTCTTAATGTCATCCTTATCCCGTGCTCTTCAGTCACTGAGCTTGTAAAAACAAGTAAACAAGTGTAAACACGTGGCGTCTGAGCATTTTAGTTGTGGGCAGTAACGCCGCAGAACCTAAAACCTTGGTTGATTAGCTCATCTCCACTCTGAAATAATGGATTTTGGTGCTGTTTATCTTCACCTTTGTGTCGATGACAGGTCAAAGCTTTTTGTGGAATACTCCGAAACGTGTGAATATAGATTTTACTCCACATTTCCTGTTTTACTCACAAAAATCTCAAATTGAAAAGCTGTGACCTAACTCTGTTAATGACAATAGTAATCTTATTCTTACCCTGGAATTATAACCAAACCATTGCCATCCCTCTAACTGGTGAATAAAGCTTAAAATGAGCTGAAATCATTTAATTAAAAAGGATTTGCATATATTCCTACTATGGGCTCAATTTTCTTGAGCAAAACTTGCTAGTTAAGAAAATGTTTTTAGCCAATAAAAGAAAAAAGTTTATTAAAAAAAGGCTTGTTCACTTACTTGAAAGTCAGTGTTTGCAGTGAGTCAAAATGTTGAGAATAAAACCAAAATGTCCAGATTAAACCAAACGATGAGTTGGAAAGGAATACGTTATTACATAACGCAAAGGATTTTTTTAATCATTTGATCAAATTGTTTTCTTTTTTGTATTTTATAGAATTCTTTAAATTTCATTTTGGCTTTGTTTTCCTCAAAAATTTTAATCTAATAAACTCTTGGTCCCTTTCTCTTTTTCTTCCTTCTTACTGGCCCTGATACGCTCAGCAACAAAATGGACTGAAGTAAATATCTAAAGCTAGTCCTCCAGAGTTTACCTGCTAGTTGTCTTATAAAAAAAGATTTTTTTCTATTCATTTATTGATAATAAAATAATAAGATGAGTTCAGATTGATCAGCCTTTGCTGTATCCTATCTTTTTTTGTAGCACACTTTTTAATATTTGACAGGCCCTGAGTGACAACATTTGCGAATGGCAGAATCTATTGAATACAGAAATAAATAAAAAGGTATTTAAATTATTGGAAAGAAAAAAGTTAAAACACCCTTTCTGGTAAATAAACAAGAGGCGATGAAACATACAAAAATGCATGCATGCACATACAGTAGAAGCCCCAACGCTCTGCATTTAGCCTCAGATTGATAGATACCTATTCACCAATACAAAAGCAAACTCTTTACACTGTCCAACTCAATGCAAGTTGACAATGTAAGCTGGAAATGTTATAATTTGCCCTTAGCAGTAGCCAAACAGTCCTGCTGTATTTTTGCTGAATACCTTCTGCCCATGCCTCACCTGTTTTCTGAACCGTGTGTTTTTCCTTGTTGCCGTTTGGCTGGATAGACGCTGACAGAGCTCAGAAACATGGCATGGATGAGTTTATCTCCGCTAACCCCTGTAACTATGACCACGCCTCGCTTTTTGAGATGTTGCAGCGTCTCACGTTGGATCACAGGCTCAATGACACCTTCTGCTGCTTGGTGAGTGCCTCTCTGCCCGGTATCGAGGTCGAGGCTGTTTTCTGCTCGCTGCTGTCTTGCAGTTTCCATGTGTGTTTTTGTTGTGCAGGGATGGTTCAGTCCAGGCCAGGTGTTTGTCCTGGATGAGTACTGTGCGAGGAACGGAGTTCGAGGTTGCCACAGACATCTTGGCTACCTGCGTGATCTCCTGGAAAGAGCAGAAAATGGGGCGATCATTGACCCCACTCTCCTTCACTACAGCTTTGCCTTTTGTGCGTCCCATGTTCATGGGAACAGGTGTGCTTTCCTTCCTGCTTTTAAATGGTTTCACTAACATTTTCCAGGCTTTCCTAATGAAGGGGTAGCAACGGACAAGATTAGAAATAGATTCAGTCTGTTTAAAACAAAGGTTCAAACAAGTTTATATATATACATATATATATATATATATATATATATATATATATATATATATATATATATATATATATATATATATATATATATATATATATATATGCATGTATATATGTGTGTATATATATATATATATATATATATATATATATATATATATATATATATATATATATGTATATATGCATGTATATATGTGTGTATATATACATATATATATATATATATATATATATATATATATATGTATGTATGTAAATATATGTATGTATATGTATATATATATATTTTGTTTATTTATTTTTTTTTTTTTAAGGCTGCAGCCCCCCTCTTGTGGTAGATGAACAGCCTTACAGCTTAAATCAACAGTAATATCACCTGACCCGCAGCAGAGTACTTTGTCTTCTTTTATAAACAAAATATTAGTTCACGCATGCTCTAAATTATTTGTGTGTACAGTTTCTTTCTCCACGGCACTTCTTCACGTACCAGTTTTACACAACAAAGCAGCAAAATTTAAGTAGTTGCATCCTAATTTCAAGCATGCCTGATAAAATTGAACCTTTTTCAGGTAATTTGTGTTGTTGTGAAATGAATTAATGCCAAATAGGACACATTTCAGACTTTAGAGCCTTTGAGTCTTACTTTCATTGGTATCCATTTGATCTCATCTTCTGACTTTGCCAGAAATATTTAAGAAGCATTTAGTGTTTTCTCTTTCAGTTTAATTTTGTTGTCTTTATGTTTACTTGTATTCAATCATGTTATGTTTTTTGTCTGTTTTGTTCTATTTTAAATCAATTGCATGTGGATATATTTCCTTGTTTTCTACCATTTTTTTCTGTTTTTCTTTTGTCTTTTGTTGCCATAGTCTCTTACTGTCCTTATTATTCATCCTCCCATGCGTCCGTTAAAGTCAGAGAGGACAGCAGTTACTGGGGGCCGCTGGGCTACGAGCCCTTAATAACCCCAACGAGCTCCCAGAGCCCAGATCCTCATGCTGCCTCTAAGCGAGCTCGAATATTCAAGTTTAGAAAGAGAAAGGAGTCATTTCAAGGTGACAAAAGGTGAGAAAAATAGGTACACTTTGCTTTCAGCTCCACTGGAGTTGATAGCGACCCACCGGGGCTTTTTTGTTGTTGGCTTTTGTCAGACTTTGATGTGAATTAGGATCAGCTGAGTGTCTGCCTGATTTTAGCTGGGTTTTAAGTGTTTTGGTGTGATCCTCGCAGGCCAGACGGGCTGAGCACGGTGAAGGTGGATGAGAAGGACCGCTTCGAGGACATCAAAGAGCGGTTGCGTGTGATACTGGAGAACCACATTGTAAATTTCAGGTGACTGCCATCCCCCTTACGGTACATTTATAATCCTGGTAGTCAGTCTTGGTGTGACATGTGTATACTCGACCTTGCCTTGTAGATACTGTTTTCCCTTCGGTCGTCCAGAAGGTGCATTGAAAGCCACTTTGTCTCTACTGGAAAGGGTCTGTTCATAATAAAAAATCCAACTTTATTTAAATACTAACTGTGATTTGGTTAAAACATTAAAGTTTTATTGTTTCGTGTAGGTCCTGATGAAGGATATTGTGACTCCAGTTCCTCCAGAGGAAGTTAAAGGAGTTATCCGCAAATGTTTAGAGCAGGCGGCTCAGCTCAACTACCAGCGGATTAAAGACTATGCCAAAATCGAAGGTAAACAAAAAGACAAATTAATTCATGTCACTAAGAAGTTCCAACGTTAGAGACGTTCTCCTGCTGTTACAATGCCAGCACGCCTCACAGCCATGTTGTTTGGATTCAGATTGAAGTTTTTAGACTTGTTTTTGTCACTTTAAACTATTTTTACACCTGTTTGTGTCCAAATCCCAAATGAGATGTGGCATCCAAACTGGTAACGTTCTTTCTCTCAGTCCAATAACTCTCTCCTTTGTTTCAGGCCTGCTTTAGCTCTGTGCTGTTCTGTAGGTCAAGTTGGCTTTTGTGTAGAGGTGTGTGAGTAAAAATGCATTCAAATCCAAAGCCCTGAAGTCTGTTGCTGTGCTGATCTCTCATTGTGCATTGACTTTTCTACCCGTGTAGGCCTCTGACATTAGACAATCGGACATTTATCTCAGCTACGTCCACTCGGACTCCCGGTCGATGCTTACTCCCCCTCTCCCACTGCCTCTCTATAGCTCCTACAGCTGTGAAACCCCTTTGCGCCCCCCTCCTCTCACCGTTGTCTAATGCTCTTGCTTCAAAACCTCCTGCTCCCTGTCTTCCTCCACTGTCTGCTCTGCTTTTTCTTTCTTCTCCCAAAGTTGTTGGCTGTGTGACAGCTATCCCTTTGTTAGGCCTTTCAAAATATGCAACACATTGCTTTTGACTGAAATACTGCTGGAGCTTAAAAAAAAGGTGGTGGTTTCACAGTTTGTGAGCCCTTTAGAAGTTTCTGTAAATTTGTCGAAAAGAGTTACCAGGTGTGTTAAACTAGATCAGAACCTTGGAACTTGCCAGAGCTTTCCACCGGATGTGTAAGCTACACAGAAATTTAGACACATTTTCCCTGCAAGCTCAGCGGCATTTCCCTCACTAGCGTTTCAGAGGCGAACTGGCAGCAAAAGTGTTCCATGTAGTTGTTACCGCAAGATTTGTCTTTACCAGTTTAAAGGACAAAATATAAGAATTTTACAGTAAAAAAAATCACAAAACAGTCTAATGTCTCAATCATGTAGGAAGGAATGTTAATAAAACAGATTTCTTTCTCAGTCAGCTGGGGGTTGTCAGTTTTTCTCCTTTCAAACAAACTAAAGAGGGACGTAACTACTGTTTACAATCTATGAGCCTCCAGGGTTGTCGAGTCTGCATCGAGCTAATGCTGCAGCTCCGGCATTTGTGATTCAACACCGGCAGGAAAAAAGCTCAAGAGTTGTTTAAACAACTGAAGCCAGTAAATAGGAGAGACCCAGAATTTATTTCTTGTACCCTTAAGAAGCCGCTGTATCTTTTTGTTTTACTCTAATATCAGGTGAAGAAGTTAACTAACGTTGAGCTAACAATGCTAACAGTGAAGTGGAAGCAAATAAAACTACAACTCAGTATATTACATTGTGGCGTTTTACTACCTTTAATGAGTCGTTCAAAACTAAAACAGCTAGCTAACAGTGACACAGCTAACAGCCGCACACTCTTACATTAATCTGCACTTGACTTTTTAATTTGAACTTTTCCAGAGGTTTTACTCTGTTTTCCTGTTAGACTTCCTGTCTGGCTTCTAAAATGCAGAATTTGACACATGCAAACATAGCGTGTAAAACTTAGACTCAAAGCATACAACGTCCCCACACTTCCAAAACATTATGCTTCGTGGCCGGTGGAAACACACCCATCCACTAAACCACAACTGATTATTGCATGCTACAGTTTGAGGACTTTTCATGGACATTTCACAAAAGATTCGTGAAACTCGTGTCCGGTGGAACGCTTGGGTGAGGATTTTTTTTTTAAATACAACATTTTCTCCCAAAGAAAAATGGATACTCGACCATAGCTGTGTCTGTCGTTGAACATACAGAGTGGGGGTCTGCAAACATAGGCTCTGGAGCAACAAGTGGCTCTTTGGACTTTCCACAATGGTTGTGCTTGCAGACCCTGATTTTTTAGCTTTTATTTGTCCATCTGTGTCTGTGCAACTCAAAACAAACATGTTTTAAGACCTTGCTCTGATCATAAATATTCAGCATTCACTTTGAAGATGCACCATTGGATGCTAGCACAAGTGAGCTACAGTGTTATGGTGTGTTTATGAAGGAAATTCATGATGTTGATCAACCTAAAACCCTAAAACTCAGTTAAAACAACTTCTGTTTTAGCAAAGTTTTATGCAGAAATGTCAAAATAAAGGGGTTAACAAACTTTTGGACACCACTACACAAACCAGCATTAACCACCTGCATGAGCTTCGAGACATAACAACATGACCTTTCTTTATTGGCATGAATTATATGTACATGTATCCACGTTTAAAGGAAAACCACACCAGAACATTTCTTAATCTTCTTTTCTGTTGATCTTGTGTAATTTTCAGAGAAAACCCACTAGAAAGAAAACGTTTATGTTGTTTATGCCTTGAAAGAAGTCCCAGAGGGCGCTAAAGATACTAAGGATTCCAACCTTACTATCTTTGTTGTATGATTTGATTTCCTCCTGTCCTTGTGAGGCGCCTAGTTAAAAGGAAGCCTTTTATTTAGCTACTGGGCCCCCTGCCCAGCAGATTGGGGTTTTCACCTGGACAGCCCTCCTCCCATTGGCTTCTGACCTCCAGCATACCCACTTCTGACCCCAGCCTCTTGCATGCTACAATCCTTTTTTTATAGGAAAAAAGAGGGAAATGTATGAACACCCTGTCTTCTGCTTGGCCTCTCAAGTGATGGATTTAACCATCCGTGAGTACCTTCATTGCCCCCCTCCCCACTTGTTCCACTCCTTCTAAGCGCTCTTTCACCTCATCCCTCCTCTCCTCCTTCAAAGATGCTGCCATGTTTGTTTTGATCTGTGCCTTTATGTGTTGGAGTGAGTGGGGAGCACACCAGTGGACAGATCTGTAAAGCACCACGCTGAATCAGTCGGGGTTCCTCTTTATTAGCACCGTCTGTTTGTGATGGACATGAATGAGCAGTCTGGTTTGTAAGCTTCTTTCTTTTGGTTGGACACCCATTCTTTTGACTTGAATGCATTTTTATATTGCTTACATTGTTATCTCCTCCAGTCATTTGGGCTGATCATGTGTCACTAGCGTGCTTTGCCAAACAGGTAGGCTTTTTTTGTTATCGTCTCTTTGTGCTGCCAGCTAGTGAAGGAGCATCTGGCAGCAGAGCTTTTCAAAGGGGTAAACAGACAGCATTGTTTGGATGTCACAGTTTGTATTTATTACTTTGCTCAAATCAAATCAAGTCACTTCAGTGTGTCCTGTCTGTGATTCCGGTTCTTGTATTTGTCTGTCTGGTAACAAACATCTTACCACCTTTTTTTATTTTCCACTTTTCCACAGGCTAACATGTCCGTGTGTTGTTGTTTGTTTTGTTTTACTGTTTATTTGTGATGTTTGTCTGTTGCCTAGAAACTCCCTTTCCTGCAGCTGAATCCGTCCCAACAGGTTCTTTGAAAAGGGTCACGTGATCCCAGCTCCAAGCCCCAACCTCTCGCATCGTCAAACTAATCACAGAACAGACGTCTAAACATCTCTTTATCTTTTCTCTCCCCCCTTTCTTCTTGCTGAAGTTGAGAAAGGTCAAAAGGATCAAAAGGATCCAGGTGATGCCCTGTTCAGCTTATAATTTAGCTACAACACACACACACACACGCTACAACACACACACACACACGCTACAACACACACACACACACACATTCTTGTATTTGTACCCATGTTAGGACTTTGTATGGACTTCCATTCATTTTAGTGAGTCCACTATGCCTAACCCAAACCCTTACCCTAACCCTAACCAGTGTACTCCTAAAGTTATCTGTTACAAAAACTCAATTCACATCTTATCTGTAAACCTCACCCCTAGGTAGTACTCCGTATAAGGACCGGGTTTTGGTCCTAACAAGGACCATCGGTCATAAGAAGGTTAGCAAATATCCCAAATCCGGTCTTCACAAGTGTACAAATACAAGCACACACACACACACACACACACACACACACACACACACACACACACACACACACACACACACACACATACACAAAAACACCATACATGTTTGCATTGAATAGCTGCAAAACATGCATGCATTTAGCGGTAGCATTAATTTTTTCACTTCTAGATACACAAACATTTCATGTAATTTACTGCAATTGTGTTAAAAGTAGAGACATAAGAGATTGTACTACTTTGTATTTGATGATGATGATGATGATCATTATGATAATGATGACCTCTTGAGAACAATAAAGTCATCTTATAGAACTCATAATTGATCTTATATGTATTTTTGTGGGAGGCCATCAACATTATAATGTAATACAATCTCTCACTAGAACTTTAACTCATGTATTTTCATACAAAGTAACAAAGGAGCCAAATATGAAGTTTTTTCTAAATGTTATTTTGGGTCAGAGCATCTTATACCAACAAGTCATGTTCTAAAGTCACGTGTTCTGGTACTTCTAGATTTATTAGAGGTAATTTTTAACAGAATCAACAAAAGAAAACAAGTGCAAACTTGTATTAAAATATTCCTGCACACAGCTAGAGAATTATTTGATTCTTTACTCTGATTACCCGATAAACTCTGTTTTATTGAAGTTTTTTCACGTGAAGGTCAGAGTTACTCATAAGATATTCAAAAGGAATGAATCCTTTAGCGATGTGCATCAGCTAACTCACTAATGCTCAAGGGATAATGTTGTCCTTAACTTCTACACACCCTTAAAAGCCCCGGGGACATATTTTAAAGAGTTAGTTTGTTTTTTCTTCTGTGCAGTTGTTAGTTAGTACTTCCCTGCAGGATGGATTTCCCAGAGCATCATCAGTCTGTGAGACAAATCAGACAGATATAAGAACCATGCTGTTTGAAAGAAACTCTGCATTCATTATCTCCCAGGAAGTTCATGCAACATCTATTTCACAGAGCTAAGGAACGTACAGGTGAAACTTGAAAATTTAGAATATGGAGCAAACGTTCATTTTTATCCCTAATTCAATGTAAAAGTTTAAACTAATACAGACTCATTCCATTCAAAGCCAGATATTTCAAGCCTTTATTTGCTATATCTGTGATGATTATGGCTTCCAGCTTTTGAAGTTATAGTTCAAGTCAAAGTGCCATTAGTCATCATCATCATCATCACAGTGGTGAAATTACATCTCCATATTTGACCCATCCCGATGGGGAGGTTTACGCCCCCATTCCAACCCCTCAAAGCTGGATGTCAAGCAGGGAGGCATCGGGCCCCATTTTTAGGGTCTTTAGTATGACCCGACCAGGATTTGAACCTCAATCTCCTAGTCGCAGGGTGGACACGCCACCACTAAGCCACTGAGGAAACCCGAATCTTCATCTCAGACAATTAGAATATTCTGGAAATGTTCAATATTCTAGGCTCAAAGTGTCACACTCTAATCAGCTAATGAATCCAAAACACCTGTAAAGGGTTCTTGAGCCTTTAGATGGTCTCTCAGTCTAAGCTTAGTTTTTGAGTTTCACCTGTATTTTTCTGAACCAGTGAAAACTTTAGTGCAACACCCTCAGCACCACTGATATTACAAACTGATAATTCGCTGAGGGATTTCACCTGCAGGTAAGATACTGACTTCTGAGAACAGCTCTGCAGAACCTCACTTCCAAGAATCCAAACCACTCTTAAGCAGTCACCAGGAATAAAGTACAACCCTGTAGTTTGTGTTTGGGCGTACTCAGGGAGAAGCGGGCTCCAGGTCTAAAATAGAACGAGTGGTGTTCTGACAGCTTTGGTTGCCCAGACCAGAATAGTTCATTTCCTGAACCAAATCCACCGGTGAGAAATGTATCTGTTAAACTGACCGTTTAGGATTAAATGTACTGGTGTTAATCAATATGACATAAATTATATATAGTCTGTATTTAATTTAATGTTATTTATTTGCAACCAAAAGACATGGGTTTGACTGAAGTCCATGTTGAATTATAATCCAGTTTATTTAACTTTAATACAGGTTCACTCGTTATTTCTATTAGTGCCACTCATTCCTATCAGAATATGAACCCAGAATCTATGTGTACCTGTACTTTAATCCTTTAAGCGGTTTTTAACCAGGGCCCCAACGTTTTCAGTCAGACCCTGGATAATAGATATATTTGTTACCAAAGAGAAGCCCTTTAATCATAGAGTCATGCCAAAAACGCCACTGTTTTATGTAGAGTTACGTATTTATGTGCTTTTGATTTCAGATTTGTGTTGCCATTAAGCACCGTGTTCAAATGAAAGTATTCAACATGTTTATGTTTTTGATAGTTCCATTTCATGGCGTGTATCTGTCTGACCAAATCCTTCTGCCAGCAGAGCTAAAAGAAACACAAGTTAGAACTAAAGTCAACAGCTGATTATAGAATTAGACCAAAACATCTTTAAAGGACAAAAAGCCCAAATTGGGCCAAATCCACCACCGGCACACAGTAAAATTGATTTGGTTAAAAAAACTGCAAATAAAAGAATAAAAACTTAATCCTGATTTCAGGGGGAAAACCCCATTTATTACCTGCTATTCTTTTCTTTTTAGCATAAATGAACTCAACATTCCAGTCTTTGGTTATATAATTGTTAATGACGTATTGTAGCTCCATTAGCATTAGTAGGATTCTTCTTTTTATCCAGATTAGTGCCTTGTCTTTATACACTCTAGAAAAAATAAGATAAGCGAGAATGTTCTGATAACACAAACAGTGATTGCAAAGCTCATTTATTTATAAAGACCGCATTTTCCTAAAAAATGTATCTTTGGAGATTCAAGGTTTTAGCCTGACAAAGACACATTTTTATTATTGTTTATTGTCATTTGAGTGTTTTGCTGGATTTAGTGTCAAAATATTGAATAAATGTATTAAATATTGGCTATCTTTTTGATCTTCCTCTGTTTGGATAAATAGAGATTAGGACCTTCAGGACAGATAAACTAACAGCTAGTCCACGTCCAGCCAAGACCAAAGTGGATTACTTTCAGTTGAAAATGAATTTAAATAAAAAATTTGCTTAATATTTCAATCAATCATGATTTTATAATCAATTTCACTCCTACTAACTTTGCATTTTGAGGTTTTACATAGAATTCTATGGTTATTTAGAAGCACAAACGTAATATTTGTGTTCACTTTAAAATGTCGAATGGCGTAGAGGTTTGTAAAATAACAGATCTGTCACGAGGTGGTTTTGGAGAGAGGTTAGGACCCAAGATGCAGAACCCGATAAACGAGGCAGGAGGTGGAAGAAACGTAAAAATCTTTTATGAAGGAGTAAATCCAGAGAATGCAGGGCACCAAAAAACAAAATCCAAAAATCCTATTAACTAAACCTAGAGATTCCAAAAACACAAGAGACATAGAGATTCTAAAAGCTAGAGAGGGGGACGAGACGAGGCTGACACAAAACAATGAACCAACAACATACTGAGACGCAGACAGGGTTAAATACACTGGGGCAGGATGAGAGGGAGATGAGCTGCAGGTGTGTGGGGAGAGCGACGTAGTGAAAACAATTAACTAATCGGAGAGAGGAAAATAACATGACATAAGAATAAGGACAAAACCTAAAGACAAAAGCAAGATACATAACTAATGATATAAGGAGGAAGGAGAACTAAAGAACCGGTGGGAACACACTAAAAGAGACTAAAATATGAAAAGCTGAACCTATAGGAAAAAACTACAGAAAGAAAAATTACAGAGGTGTGACTAAGTGAGACCACGGGAGCACAGGACCTGGGGGGGTGGGGGTGGGGGGGGACACCTGGGGAAGGGGAAAACCTAGAGGGGTTGCAGATCAGGGGACACATGAGGAAGATGCAGACAAGGACACATGAGGACGCTAGGAGACACATAAGAAGAACCTAGAGAGGGATGGAGAACACAAGGAGACACATGAGGGAGACACAGACACAGACCATGACAAGATCATGTGAAATTTAGGAATTTGGGCTGGTTTACCATCGCAGTAATATACTTCGGTATTGGCTGTGCTTGAACTAGCTGTTAGCGCATCAATCCTGTTGGAAGTAAATTCTTGTTTCTCCAAACAGAGGCTGTTCAGGAAGCCGTCTACCAGATTTGACACTTACACTGAAACACAAATTATACTTGAAATATTTTAAAAATAATAAGTTTAAATTTTCCAGGTAAAAGTATTTTTTATTTTATTTTGTCTATTGTAATAATCAATATTTTTATAATATAGCTATTTTTAACTTTTTCTTTTTGAAAGCCACATTTTTTAATGCAATATTAATATTTTCAGTTAGAAATCCTACTTTACTTGATTTCTAACTTCAGCGATAAATTCAGACACATTTTTACAGTGTGTGTAAGCGTGTGCATATTTAAACAAGGCTAAGTGACAGCTCCTCATCCAGATGGCTTGTTTAAGACCACCTCACGATATTTGCATGTTTCTGATGCCCCATTGCACCTCCATCTCAGTGCCGCTGTTCTTGTGTTTGATACTCCTGCAGCATAAATCTGATTATCCTACAGACACATTGACTCTGTTGCTTCATGTCACGCAGCTTGAAGTGCACACAGCAACTAGGATTATGTTTTACTTATCATGAGGGGTAGAAGTGGGTAAACATCACGGTGTGAGTGTTTTACGTTCATTAAATGCTCCAAAAATAAGAGAAAAAGAATATTTTTAATAGACATAAAATCCCATTGGAATGCTTCTCTGTGCTTGACTAACCACTCATCCCTCACCCTCATCCTTTTGTCTCAGAGAACGTAGGCCGCTTAGTCACGCCTGCCAAAAGGCTGGAGGAAACAATTCGCCTGGCGGAGTTAGTCATAGAGGTCCTCCAGCAGAACCAGGAACACCACGCGGAGGTGAGTGAGAACCCTCTCCTCCTCCTCCCCTCCTCAAAACACTTTCCCTCTTATACTCTCCCTCTGATCCCACTCGCCCCACTTCAGAGAGTTAATCTTATAATCAGACGGCTATAAATAAAGCTGCTTTCATCTACGGGCAGAAAAAAGGACAAGAGAACTGCAAAGAGGAATTTCATTTAGAAAAGCTATAATTAGCTCTTAGCAAATGCAGCTACAGTGAGTCAGAAGTCTGACGTTTGAATGTGGACTGTAAATGTGATAAAATAACATCCCATAATCCTAGTTTACAAACACTCACTTAGGCACGAAACCCTAAAAACACAAAGTAAGCATGTCGTAGGAAGGTCATCAGAGGTCAAATAGTCCTGGAAAGTTTCTGCACGTTCCTAAAATTAGTAATAATAATAATAATAATTTCTGTAATTCTTTAAGCATCATTATAAAAACAAAGAATAGCTGTTATTTTTAATCATCAAAACAAAATGGCTTTTGTTTTACTAGACTAATAAATGTATATGAGGAATATTAAGCATGCTGCTATTACAAAAAATGCACATGCACACACACACACACACACACACACACACACACACACACACACACACACACACACACACACACACACACACACACACACACACACACATACAGTTTAATTCTGAAGCAACCCTTTGGGTCTTTATCAATGGCTTTTTTAAATTAAAATAAGATCTTTAGATATTGAAAGTCTAAAGTTTTGCAGAAGATTTATTTCATTTTATTGATTTGTTAGCTCTGAAGCCTAAGTCAAAGAATCAGAAAGGCCACCTTTAAAGGTTGAATATGGAATTATTAAATAAAAAGCTATGTTTTTAAAAGGATGCTTCCGCGTGTTTAGAGGTGTGCAGAAGGAAGGTATACAGTATTCCCTTTAAACGCTATATTTTATTTAAAAAGTAATAAAACATTTATTTTGATGGGCACGACACTGGGCTTATGTTTACATGTACCAGCCAACAGAGGGCACCGTTGAGGTTGCTAAACAGTGCGATCGGCAAAGCGAGGCTGGCTCTGTGGAAAATGGCGGACTCGGCAAGTCGAGCAGCTGCTTCTGAGCCCAGAAGATGTTGTTCTCCTTCTCAGAAGAGGAGCAACCGTAACAGATCTAAAACCAGAGTGAGTTTGGGTGAAGCCTAAAACAGATGGAACCAAATAAAAAAAATGTCACGTATCTGCAGCGAACCTGGTATCCCGCTGACTGGAAGCCTTGTTCTATTGTTGCAACTACAACCTCCACACACTAGATGTCTCTTTGGTGTTCGTGTTCCATATTCAACCTTTAAGTTGAGATCATACATGGGGTCAAAACATCCAATGTAGAAAATACTTGGATTCATAATTGCTATTTTTATGATCTGACTATTTTTTGATGTTACTTTTAATTCAACTTGTAAATAACGTTTCATTAATTTTTACCCTTGTGTGAAAACTAGCTCTTTGTGGCTTTTAAGTTGTTTACAGCCAGATATTCAATGAAAACAAACAAATTAGAGTAAGTTTTAATTTTATTTCCCACACGTGAAACAATACATGAGGTAAAAGATACAGGTTGCACTTGTCGCCTGCAGTGTTTATATCATCCATCAGAGGGCAGTAGATGTGTGGGAATTGATGCAGAACATACTAATCCTGTTAAAGACGTCTTAGAAATCTAGAAATATGTGCAACAAAAAAAAAGAAATAAATAAAAAAACATGTTAAAAGTCTCTAAATGCAAAATTAAAATACCACTCATAGCATCAAGGATTTCTTTTAAAAGCATTTACTATTTAAATTCTGTCCTCTATGAATATAAGCCTCCATTAAAATATAAGAGATAAAGAAGATAAAAACAATAGATTATTATTATTCACAAAAGCCACTAAAAGTATATTTTCCTGCATTTGTTCGCTTTTAAAAAGCGCTGAGCTGTTAGAGAGGATGGTGACCATGTGGAGTTGGGTACAGACCTGCAGCTCAGAACATGCAGATAAGGCAGATTTATTTTATCTCTCTGAATATGCTTGACAGGCGGCAGTCACAAGCTCTGCAGATCAATCGGTACAGTATTTTTCTTTCTTTCTCCCCTTCAGTCCCCATCACAACCCCCCTTTGTATGGCATGTGCCACTATGGCAGGAGGCACGTTTCCAGGCAGAGAATGAACTGACTCATAGCAGCACTGGGTGGGTTTGTGGGGCATAGACATGCTGAGAGCAAACTTGTTTTATGTCAAAAGGAAAAAGGAAAAAAAAGCACATTAGCTTCCACAGCATAACTGCGATCATAAAGCATGTTGTTCATCGGGTCATTAAGGAGGCTTATTTTCTCTCCAAGCATGCTGAACCAGAAAGTTTCCCAGAGTCTGCTCCATACGAACCTTTGAAGTCTGATCTGCCATGAACATTTGTTCCCCCTCCATCCAGCAGTTTATTTCACAGCCAGCACTTGTTCAAGCATCACTTCTCCAGCTTCTCCTCCTCCTCCATCCCTCTCTGCTATCTGTTCTTAAACTACCAACTTGTTCAAACAAATGCCTCAACGTACATTATTGTTCTGTACATCTTCCTGTGTTTTCACTCTAATGTGATTGATGACTGTCCAAGCAGGGAAAAGAGGTATGTAGCTCAGCTGAATGAGAAACTCCCATGATGCACTGTGCATGTAAAGTAGAGAATCATTTTACTTATCCCTCCCTCTCAGCATCAGTGCACTTCCTCAGGACTGGTGCCTTGCTGAACTGAAACAGAGTTACAGTCTGTGTGGCTGAACATTTCGCTCTCAGATTCCTGTATGTGTCCCTCAAACTCCATCAAAGGCAGGAGGTTGCCCTTCCTTTGAACGTTTCCCCTTCCCATCTTCCTGTGGGAACGCTTTTCCAGCTCTTCCCTCTGACTTTTTGAAAGTATTTCTCCTTGAATGTGATGGAGAAGAATCCTGTTTGCCGCCTGTTTCTCTAACATTAGAGCTACCATGCTTTGCTTTTTTTAAGTCTAGGAGTAGCCAGGTAAGTTGGCAGGTAAGTAAGGTTGTGACTGACATCTTGGGGGCTTAACTCAGGTGGAAACAACCTGTAAAAAAGTGGGAGGGGTTAAAGAATGCATGCAGCATATTTTGAGAAGATTATTGTTAGCCTGAATGATATGCAAAAAAAAAAAAAAAAAAACAAGACTGCCAGCAAAGCAACTACTGCGCTTGTGCTGTCAAAGAGTGAGAAAGTCCTGACTGTGCCAGAAATTTGTCAGCCCAATCTCAAAGCCTTACTTAACTAATTGGAACAGACGTACTTCAAGTCAAGAGATGCTGTGTGCTGCAGTCTTTGGTGTGCCAGTCAAAGATGTGCATGAGTCACATTCACATCTAGTGAGCTTTGGGATTGTTGCTGATGTGAATGGTGGAACCCCCCCTCATTTATTAGCTTGGGGAAAGCATGCAGGGAGATCCACGTTTGCATGAGAAAAGCACCTTTGTCTTAGATGCATTGGATTGGTCATAAATATAAAACGTGGACATGCAGCCCTTTGGTGCAGGTCAAAAAAGTCAAGCTTTGAATTATATTTCTTGGATTGTATTCAATGAGAAACACACACACACACACACACACACACACACACACACACACACACACTCAGGAAGTACTTTCACATTTTTTAAGTCATCAAATTAAATCAAAGGGGAAATTTGAATGTTTTTTGAAATGTGTCACTTTTCACTCCTGTGAAAATTCAGTAGCACCATTTCAAGCAGCACTAAATATGTTTCCCCACGTCGCCGCCTTCTGGTGGAAAGTGGAATTACAACTGTTGTAAACAACCCTGCTGTAGCTAGCGCTAACACTAATACAAGCCAACTGATACTAAATTAACTACAAATTTAAAACATTCATGCTGTTGGACAAGGAAATATTACTTACAAATCCAATAGCGAGAAAGCCAGGTCACCATCAGTCTGAGATTTTGTAGCCGCCTTTACTGCCCTCGAACGAGTGCGGTTCCTGCCGATATTCCCTCTCGTTTTAGCTCTTTGCTTCACCTCCAGCAAAAACAGTTAAATTATTTTTCTTCTTCTTGTGCTTTTTAATTGACGGTCAGCAAACTGAAACCGCTAACTGCTAGTCTTTATTTTAGCTACCAACAGAGTGACCAGCTTACAGCCGTGAAGCAGGTAGAGCGCTTCACCTAGTGACGGCTGCAAAGTGCTGTCCAGTCTGAAGTTGGTAAAGTTTCTACCTCAAGAATCACTGAAACCACATTCAAAGCAACAGCTTAGAGTGTTAAAAGTTATTTAGTTTGACTTTAAGATATCAGACCTTTTCATAAAGAAAGATTAAAAACGAGTTATTCTCTCAGCTTATGATTAATTTGAATACACACTTCTGTTTTTATTTTTATTTACACGGTCAAACTCACCATTTTAGAATGTTTTTGGTTTCACATAAAGCACAAGATGATGAAGGCAAGAATAGTGGAATTATTAGACAATCATCTTTCCAATGTTTTAAGGTTATTAAGCTTTGTGGGTGTAAAAATAATAAAATAAATAAAGTACATAACATCAAACAGGATATTTAGCTGAGTTGCTGAGCATGCTCAGCTACCCTGCTGGTTTAAAGAACAGATAAAAAGTAAAGCAGGAACATTTTCCAACTTATCAAACGTAGACACATCTAGAAGCTCATCCTGGTGTCTTCATGTATCTGTTTTCTTTCCTTTGGTTTGGTTCTCTGATTTCCTTATTGGGGTCTTTTGCTTACCTTATTGCGTTTCCTCCCTGCTCTGTCTCTAGGCGTTTGCATGGTGGACGGACCTCATGGTGGAGCATGCAGAAAACTTCTTGGCCCTCTATGCCATCGATATGGATGCTGCTCTGGAGATCCAATCCCCCGAGAGCTGGGACAGCTTTCCTCTCTTCCAGCTGCTCAACGACTTCCTCCGGACAGACTGTAAGCTTGTCATCATTTGATTTGCTTAGTCTTATTAAAAAGATGAGACCCTCATTTATATTTTTCTATTCACTTGTCCTTTCTTTCTCTCCATAGATCACTTGTGCAATGGAAAGTTCCACAAACACCTCCAGGATCTGTATGCTCCTCTGGTGGTTAGATATGTGGATCTGATGGAGTCCTCCATTGCACAATCAATTCACAAGGGCTTTGAGAGGGAGTCCTGGGAGCCTGTTAAGTAAGGAGCCTCTGTCTTTATAGCCGAGCTGTAGGATGCTTGCAGGTGCAACTCTTTTATTTTCAGATGATAGAACGACTGTGTGGAGGCTGAGGAATCTGGAAGAGCAGATTTAATGTTCAAACAGACTTCCTGTACACTGGTAAAGAATGAGCCAAGAGTGGGCTGATAACCTATTTTTTTCTGAGAAAAAAATAGGTTATTTTATTACTGGATGTAGGTTTTGATTAATGCATGCGTCTTTTAGTAGCTTTCTCCAACACATCGGTATCACAGCGACATGAGATATTTCTGTTGCTTTGTTTGCAAACTAAACTTCATAATGCGTGCTGCATCATGTGACCAGAAGTTATTTATTTTCTCCTTGGGCTTCAATTCATCCACTCTGTCATCTTATTGTGTCATTGCACAGATAAAAGTTTCTTCACCATTTTTTTCTTTGCTGTCTTCAGTATTATTACGTCTCCTTTTTACTGCTTTTATTATGATGTGTGTGTGTGTGTGTGTGTGTGTGTGTGTGTGTGTGTGTGTGTGTGTGTGTGTGTGTGTGTGTGTGTGTGTGTGTGTGTGTGTGTGTGTGTGTGTGTGTGTGTGTGTGTGTGCATCCAGCTCTCTTGGCGCTGTAGGTAACCCGTATAACGTCTGTCTTTGATGATTAGTGTCCTGTTTTATGTGTGCTGCTGTGTGTTTCTTTCTTCTACTTTCAGATTTTACGTTTATGATGAGGGTTACATGGCTTTCTGCGGCTCCCACACCACTGTTATGGACTCTTTTTTGTTTCTTTTTGTCTTTCTTTTCTGCAGGAGTTTAACAAGTAATCTGCCCAATGTGAATCTACCAAATGTGAACCTCCAAATTCCCAAAGTACCAAATCTGCCAGTGCCAGTAGCAGGACTATCAGTTAACCTTCCACAAATGCCTAGCTTTTCTACCCCGTCTTGGATGGCTGCTATATATGACTCTGAGTGTGTATTCAACTAGTTTGCTTTAGCTCCTTTGAGAAAGTAGAGAGTAACTTGGTATGAAGATGCTTCAGGACTGATATCAGCCAAATAATAAAATATTTGTGGCATTTGCAGTGTTGTTGAATTTGTGGAAACCATTAGTGATTTGAATATTGTTCATGTTCATGCCAAGGTCACTCTGAGTAAGAGTAGATGGGGTTCTGCTTTCTGAAATGAGAGGGCCAAGGACTCTCATTTATCTCAACATGCATGCTGTTGAGCTGAGGGGTGGAGATACAGGCCAAGGAAAAGAAACTGGTCAAAATGTACCCATCTGACAGGGATTCACAATGAATCCAAAATAAAAAAAGAAAATCACCTGAAAATCAAGCTTCCCCAACCAATGAATCTCCTCAGTGATGGCATCTACAGACATCCACTTCACTGGCTGCCAAAACCTGGCTGAAGGGCTGCAGTTAAAACCGATTTCCATTCATTTATTCACATTGGTCAGTAAGAGATTGTCTTGAAGAGGCAGGAGGTCCAGCAGGATTTTCCAGTTCCTCTTGGGTAATTCTGAGGCTATCCCAGCCCAAGGCATGTGCAGTCCCCCCTGTGAGTCCGGTCGGTCCTGTGGTCTCTCCAAAGCAGATCAAATTTTAAAAAAACTTTAAAAAGAGGTGATCAGGAGGGTTCCTGATCAAGTGGCTGAACCACCTGAACCTACTCCTCTCAATGCTGAAGACCAGCGACTGCTGGTTGATGTAGTTCCTAACCTCATCTCCAACAACCAACCGCCACGAGGCCTGTTTCCGCTGTTGGGTAATTTTATCGGACCTTAGCAGCACGCACATGTCTCCATTTCACCAGATTTGATCTCATAAATGGCTCGGTAGAGTCGCTACTTGTGGTTGACTCACGCTGATTGGTTGTAACTCAGAGGGAAACTTCATCAGCAGATGTCGCCAAACATTTGTAAACTAGAAGAGTTGCTGGCTAAGCAGAATGGACAAGAAGAAAAATCAGTGTTGATTATTAAATGGCCTTTTTAAAGCTGAAAAATGCGTTAGAACTCCCCCCACAACGCTCTTTGTGGTCTCCTACAGAGCTCTTTAAAAAAAGTGTTTATTTTACTCTTCTGATGATTGAACGCTGCTCTAGACATCACACAGCCACTCTCCCAGTCCCCTGAATGGATTTAATCACAGTGTATTTAGGCAGCATTCATTTTTTTACATGTAATGAATGTCCGTGGACTCCTTTTGGTGCCGATTAGTGACCGCCAAAGGGATCACGATATGCTGAGGTCTTAAAATCCTGAAAGGGTCGATTTTAACGGCTGAGAGGACAGATCCATTGTATTTTGCCTGACCCCCCCCCCCCCCCCCCACACACACACACACACACACACACACACACAGAAATTTCATGGAACTCCTATGGGAGAAAACATGGCTCTGGATTTATGTCAGGGAGGCCACTCCCCCAATTACACTCTTCCAGGTATCTCTGTTGTACTTGGTCATTGAGATTGTCTGCACAAACAAGAAAATCCAGAGGCAGTACCTGTCCTAGGAAACCATTCAGACTTCTAAAGAGCTGAGTCATCTGAGCCGCTCTAGCTCTAACCCCCACCTCTCTCTCTGTGACAAACCCACACAAATTGTGTGTGGAGGTGAGCCCAGCCACGTTCAGAAGGTACAGCTCAATTTCACACACCAGCTCTGGCTCATTTTCCGTCTGTGAAGTGACGGTCCACATCCTTACAGCCAGTTTCTAATGGCAGGAATCGGCATGCCTGGGCCTCCTCCTGGACGACACTCAAACTGCCTGAGAGGCTCTTTTGTCTCTTACAGATCCAGCCAGGGTTTAACAGACAGGAGGGCTTGTCTGAGATGCAGAGGGACCTAACAGTTATGCTTATCAACATGGCCATAGGTGCATCTCTGACCTTTGACCCCTGCTGGTAGTCTGATTGGGATGGAGGATAGTGCCATTGACTGGAGATGAAAACATGGAGAGGCTCTGAAGTTCAGACTGCTCTGTTTTACCACATCTCCTCCTCATCTCTACATGCTTTATGCTTCCCAATCAGCACCACTCAGGATGCTCCAGAGAAAGGCCTGCATGGTTTGTGTCATAAACCTTCCAGGGACGTTAACATTCTGGGGACATGGATGTTGAGAGGGAGGGCTGCGATGAGGAAATTTTGACTATTTTCCCTGAACATATACCGTTTGTTTTAACATGCCCTCCCTCCCTCCCTCCCTCACATCTACAATTCCCTTTCCTATGTCTTGGCCAAGTGTGAGCAGCTGCTGTACCTGCAGTAACTTTACCTGCATGTGGCCACACACCGGTCAATAATCACACTCTGCAGCGTGGTTATTGATTTGTTACAATAGACCCTTCTTGCTTCCCCTCTCCTATACACTGACTGTCCACACACACCTGATCAAACAGGACGTATAGACACCTGTGTGGGAGCGGACAGTATATGGTGAGAGTTAATCTAAATGTGTCTGGGTGTAGAGGAAAAGCATCCTCTTCTACGCCTGTCACCTTGACCCCTTCCTCCTCTGCCACTCAACCTTTGCAGCAGTTTGACCCTTATCTTCTGACCTGTGTGTGTGTGTGTGTGTGTGTGTGTGTGTGTTTGCTTGGGTCGATGGCAGTAATGGCTCCGGAACTTCAGAGGATCTCTTCTGGAAGTTGGATGCCCTTCAGACTTTCATCAGAGACCTGCACTGGCCAGAGGAGGAGTTCGCCAAGCACCTGGAGAGTCGCATCAAGCTCATGTCAAGCAACATGATCGAGAACTGCGTCAAGCGGTGTGTGTGTGTGTGTGTGTGTGTGTGTGTGTAGGAGACAGCACCAACCAATAAACACTAGATTCACAAATAACATTATTGTGTGTGTGATTTTCGTTTACATCTCAGCACCAGGATGGCCTTTGAGTCCAAACTGACCAAGAGCAGTAAGTCCACCGATTTCCGCATCTCTCCATCATTATGCACCATGTTCAACGTGATGGTTGATGCCAAGGACCAATCAGCTAAACTTTGTGCCATGGAAATGGGCCAAGAGGTAAAACATCACTTTCATCAGATGTATCAAAGCCATGGTGTGTGTTTGTAAAAGAACAGTTCTTTTTTCCTTGAACAGAAACAGTTCCACTCCCAAATAGACGAACTGATTGAGGAAAGTGTGAAAGACATGATCCAGCTGCTGGTGGCAAAGGTGAGAATAATGTTTTAGTTGTGGGAAACTGCATCAAAGAAAGGAGAAGCATTATATCACGGATTGGATACATTTTTCTTTGTTTAGTTTGTCGCCATTCTGGAAGGAGTTTTGGCTAAAATATCCAGATACGACGAAGGAACTCTTTTCTCTTCCTTCCTTTCATTTACGGTAAGCTGATGTATTTTTTTCTTACCTTCGAATTGACATTTTTCTTAAAGACCAAGTTCACTTGTTTAGTATAAATAAATACCTTGTGACAGGGAAAAGGTTTGGTGCTCCTGTTTCAGGAAGTAAGAGTTAGCAAGAGAAAAGGGGAGCAAAAAATGGCAGAATCTGTAGTTTTAGATCCTGACATTTGGACATCTTACCTCTGATTGGCTAACATGACCCTACCACTGGCTCAGTTTGCTCTCCAACAATGATGTTTTATCTCCACAAATGACACAAGCCTGAAGGAGTTCTGCTGTGTGGTGGAGTTGCTAATGCTAAAGACATGCTCTTCTGTTTTCTAACACAAAATGGTGCAAAACGTTTTATCTGATACTAAGAATAAAGTTTTTTTTACTGTGATTGTGTACTTTTTTAGGTGAAAGCTGCCTCAAAATATGTGGATGTACCTGTAAGTACATCATCAGGTGTTTTTTTTTCATAAACTGTCTCAGTGAGGATAACACTTAGTACCTTTGGTGTTTCAGTGGTCAGACTCTGCTGAGCCTTGATTGTGTTTTGCTGTTTTTCTTTACAGAAACCTGGAATGGACGTAGCCGACGGCTACGTGACCTTTATGCGCCACTCTCAGGACATGCTTCGAGAAAAGGTCAATGAGGAGGTGTATATAGAACGGTTATTTGATGTAAGTAAGATGCCGTCTCCTCCTCTCAAGAAGGGAGGGGCCTTTCAAAATGTGGCAAAACAACAGGGCAGAGAGGGATAAGTCCCATTTTGAGACCAGGAAGTGTACTTCAGCCTCTACTCCTCTGTCTTTCTGTCTGTTTCTCTTCTCTTCTGAATCACAGCTGCCCTCTGCATTCTGATATGCAACGCCACAGTGCTTTTGGGCATTTGTGTATTAAAACAGCATTTGTAAAGCATCGTCAATAAAAGGATTATTTAAAGCAGTGCTCTCTGAGGAAAGGACATAGCAGACAAGCAGTGATCTAGTGCCAGGACACTAGCTGTTCTCTCAGCTTCCAGAATCTTTCTGTATAATAACTCAAGAGGCTACAACTGTTGGGGACAAAACATTGTGAGAAATTTCTACTTGGAATCCCACTTGTTTGTGCGTACAACACTTTTGCAACAAGGCTGGATCACATGGGGACTATTGCTAATATTTTGAGACAACTTTGAAAATCCTAGTCTGGCAAGCCATCCTATATATATGTGGATATGTAACCTGGCCACAGCCCATTGATGGCTCTCAGTCATGGGGCGGGATCTATGGCTGTCTTTTAAACTGTCTCCGCATGTTATTGGACAACAATGGGATGTACTCATCGCTACAGATGTCAGGCAATGGGACAGTCCGCCATACTCTGTCAAAGAGGATGTCAATACATTCTTATTCTAAATAAATTTAAGTAACTCTACCTGCTCTTGAGTCAAAGAATAGCCCAATTCAACATAGTCCAAAGTTGATGCCAAAGTTGTTTCAAACAAGCCATCGCCATCTGTGTATCAGTAACATCCTGCCCACTAACAGAGTGCTGTGGTTGACCCACCAAATCACTAGGGCATTGTGATTGGACCACTGCGGAGCCGTGGCCATCTTAGTTTTGCTCACTCACAGTAACCTCCCGCCTACCTGGCTGATAGAGCACTGTGATTGGACCACCAAACCAATAAAACACTGTAACTGGACTGCTGTGGATGTCAGTCAACAGGTCAGTTTGTCATTACATTGTGAAAGAGTTACATACAACATAAAACAATACATTGTTTTTCTTATTAAAAAAAAACACTTTTTTTCATATCTCACTTAAACGTGGAACAGGAGATGTTTTTCTTGCCGTTCAAGCAAGCTACTTTAAAAAAATCCTAAATTCAAATACCCAACTCTCTTTTTTCTAGCCTTCTCCTCAAGCCACGCCTCAAGAATACAGGAAAACGCAATGCTTGTTCCAGAGGGTTCAATTTTACGCTTTCAACGTGTTGTTGGTACCTTTTCTGCCAATATTCCAACTGTAACAAACCTACACAATCAACAATTTAGTATGCCAGCCAATACAGTGTGGCATTTTTATGGTGAAAAAAAGGTCGTTTTTAACTTTCCTGGTTTATTCTTAACTTCTAAATCACAGCAGCTCAGTACCATCGGCAGACTGGGAAACCCAGGCATCCACAGTCAGACCTGAACCTCCTCACACTTGTTCTCTCCTCTCACACACATACAAACGCACTCTCACACACATTGGGGGAGAGGCCGCACTCTCAGACGACAGGTCTGTCACGTGAAGAATTCCCAACAAGAACAAAATCAGATTTTAAACAGCTCCTTAAATGAAATTTGCGAACAGAATGGAACATTTGGTCCATGACACTAGGCAGCCTGGCTCTGGCTTTGCTTCCTGTGTAACCATTCCATGCCGAGAACGTTCCATTCATGCACATAGAGGGGCTGAGAGTAGAAAATGGTCAGAAGACTGTTTTATGGATGGATCATGATCCAATTATCCAGAAAAGGATGTTCATAATGATTAGTTAAGGTTTTCCCAGGATTGTACATTTCAGAGGGGATTAGAATTATTCCTGTTTTTGACAAAAAAAAAAAAAAAAACCAAAAAAATGGTTTATAGGTTGCCATTGATATGTGAAGAGCATTTCAAGCCATGTGACAAACAATGCTCTGGGAAAACAAAAATCTCCTTTTCCATGTCTAAGAGAATAATAGAACAGATTCTTTCCCTTTCAGTCGATTCACTCAGTACAATGAAGGTACTATGGGACATCACGCCCTCTTGTGGCCTGGCTGAAGACACATTTAATCACACCTGTAAGGCAAATGAAAGTGACGCTGCGTCGAGGCCCCGCCCTCCACTTATAAGTGACCGTGTCACTGTCATTCCTCGATTCTTACGCTCTTCATCTCGCTGAGAACACATCTGACAACTAGCTGCGCTAAGGAAAGATAGCTTAACCGCTCACTGACTGGACTCTACTGCCTTCTGGCTAGCATTCCCGCCCACCGAGCGCTATCTTTCGTGGCTCTTCAGCTTCTCCACTTCGCTCCGCTGTGTGTCTCGCAATGAGCACCGTGTCGGACGTTGCTTCATGGAAAGCCGCTTTGTGCCCCTGTCCTCAGGGCTGTGGATTTGCGTGCCCGGTTTGTCAAGGAATTCTCCACGCCAGGAGAGCGCTTGCGGACCTGGAGGCGTGCGAGTTCTGTTGCCAACTCCACCGTCCCACGCTCGAACGGCGCATGAAGCTTCTACAATGTCTCCTGGCAGATGCTGCAGTTTCGCAGCAGGACCCCATGCTTTCCCGTTCGGCACCAGCTTCGCCCGGCTCTGACGTGGACAGCCTAGTTATCGATATCCCCGCTACTAGCTGGGCAGATAAGATGGAGATGGCAGACAATTTAACCGGACCAGACCAAGAGGCTTCTCTGTTCCTTCCTCTGGCAGAGGATGAAGGAGACATTTTGGACATTTGCCCTGACAGTCAGGACTTGCTTGAGGACGAGGAGGTCCTCTCGGCGGTGGAGTGTTCTGCTCCGGCCGCTACTTCAGCCTCCGAGCTGCAAGATGACACTTATTTTCTCCCGCTCTGCCGGCATGCAGTGGGGAGGCTAGAAGTGGACTGGCCCGCTCCTCCACCTGCACAAAAGAGATCCCGCTTCTCTGGATTTTACCTCCCCTTGGAACCAGCAGAGGTAAAGAACTTTCTGCCACTGTACCCTGCTCACCGCATCTTGGGCCAAGCCGCTATCCACCCGCACCACGGTCCCAATTTACCGCTCGCAGGCCTCCACTGCCCACGTCCTCAGCTCTTCCACCATGCTCCAGACCTACCAAGCACTTTGCCTGGTGGACCTTGGAGCAAGGGTCCCACCCGAAAGCCCACTGACCACCCTCATCAATGAGATACGGGTCACGCCGGACTACATCCTGCGAGTTGCCCGAGGCGTCGCCCTGCTGTTGAGAAGAGGTATGACCTCAACTGTAGTGGCTCAGTGACACTTGTGGCTGACCCTTTCTAATGTCCCCAACAGGGACAGGGCTAACTACCTGGACGAGCCTGTCTCACCCAGTGGTCTGTTTGGGCAGTCCCTCGATGCTATTCAGACAAAGTTCGAGGCCCAGCGGAAACAGACTGAGGCGCTACGCTCCATCATCCCCAGACGGGAAGGGTTGCGCATGGCACCTGGGTCTGTGTCTGACAGGAAGAACCTGACCTCTCCTCCACCTCAGAGGACAGCCTCTACAGCAGCAGCGAAGGGCTTGGTCTCAGCTCGGACCCTGTCTTTCCCTCCTCACCACTCCGCTTGGAGTAAAGGCCCTCCTGGGGACTCACCTTGTTTGGGTTTTGGACCCTGTTGGGCTTCAAAACCCCAGTTTTCCATGGTTGAAACGGACCGGTTCAGCTACGGTTCAACACCACATTCCAAAGAGACTTTGTTTACTGCCCCCAGGGGGCGAGAGTTGTACTGTTTACAGAAAAACATGCACACAAATATAATAAAGACTGCTGTTTACAATCGACAATGTGTGGATGCAATGTGTCTCAACAATGCTTCTCAATTTGGACCCATAAAGCTGTGTCAACCCGCTCCGCTGGTGAACGACAGCTCAATTTTCACATCAAATCCTGTCTGCACTCGGCCTCTGTGGGAGCGGGAAAACCTGTGTTCTCCCGCTCTGCTGGAGAACAGCAGCTTTCCTCTGGTGGCAGACATGATGTTCAGAAAGCCTCCCGTTCCGCTAGAGGGCAGCAGCTCCCCCACCAGGGCGCTGAGCGGTTGCCTCGCGGCGAAGCTTCACCTCTGGCGAGCATGACCTTGGTCTAGTGCACGGTTGCCATGGGTTACCAACTGCAATTCCTGGTCAAACCACCCGTATTTACCTCTGTTTTGCAGACATATGTAAATACCGATGCTGCAGTCCTGTTATGGAAGGAAATTCAAACTCTACTGTTGAAAGGAGCTATTCTAGCGGTCCTTCTCGAGGACACAAACAACGGTTGGTACAGCCGCTACTTTGTTGTCCCGAAAAAGAGGGGCAGACTTCGCCCTATTTTGGACCTGCGTGTGTTAAACAAGTACATGTACAGGTTCAAAATACTAACACTCAAAACAGCTACTGGATACAGTCAGTCCCGGAGATTGGTTTACTACGATCGATCTCACAGATGCTTATTTCCATGTCGGAATCCATGCTGATCACAGGCGGTTCCTGCGCTTTGCTTTCAAAGGGAAGGCCTACGAGTACATGGTTCTGCCTTTTGGGTTAGCTCTAGCTCCCCGCACCTTTTCGAAATGTGTGGAAGCCCCACTACCCCCCCTCAGGGAGGAGGGCATCCGGATCCTTACCTAGACGACTGGGCTCTAGTAGCGAGTTCCCGAACACAGACAGAAACTCACACTGCATGGGTACTTTCCCACGTTCAAGCCCAGGGGTTTTCCGTGAACTACAGAAAGAGTTCTCTAGTTCTGAGTCAGAGTTTCTCCTTCCTCGGGCTGGAAATTTGCTCTCGGTCAAGCAGAGCGCGTCTCTTGGACCAGCGAATGGCCGCGCTACGCAGTTGCTTAGCACGCTTTCAGCTGGGAGCCAGACTAACACTCCGCACAGCTCTACAGCTGCAGGGGATGATGGCTTCCTCCATAGCTGTGGTACCTCTCGGACTGTGAAAAATGCG